TCCTGATGCAAGGCCAGGGAAGCTCAATATGATAGGCTTCTTCGCCAGGACACTTTGATGGTGGCAACAAAAACTGGAAATAAGCAAAGTGCCAGGATCGCTAGCAAAAGACTCTTGTTCGAGCGCTGCCACTGCCAAGTTTGTAGGTAGTGAATCTGTGCCTGGGCCCAAAGCAAATTGAAAATCAATTCTCTCACATGCGCTATCGGGCATATCGGGCGGCCTGCTACCATGACCCAGTTCTAAGCCCGGAACATGTGGCCACCACCCGAAACGGAATCTTGGTCAGGAGGGCTGACAACTCTGCTCCTCCAAGGTGTTCTGATGAGCCATTGACACTGATGAGTGACCACCGGGATATTCTGTCAGAGAGCGTCGCAGTGTTGGCCTCCACAATTCCAGCATGTCAGCGTGGTGCAAAACTTGTTTTTTGTTTGAGTTCATGGTTGGCTAATCTGAAACACGAAAACTTATATCGCAACAGTGACATCAGTATCCACTGTACACTGTATTACTAATGTAAGAAAACACACACGAGCATACAGGGCTGTGCCTTTGGAAGCACTTGCGCTGGCACATGGATAGTCGCGACTTCAGGCAGCCCAGCTGGATCGGTCCCTCTGCGTCTAACTGACAACCTCTGCAGAAGACCAAGCAAAGCTGATACTTTCCGACGGCCCAGAATGCCAACATTTGTGGAAGGAAAGGACATATTCACTGGCCCAAGTGGTTGCGTTTGAGCAGCATTTGGACCCTGCTCTTGAAGGCCAATGTCACTGTCATTGAGGTCATTCCCACTGTAAACCGCTTTCTTTTTCACATCTGTGGCAGTGGTGACATTGGTGTCATCAATAACTCGGCAAAGAATGATGTGTCGAATTCCATCGCCGTCATCGCCGCTCAAAAGCTTCAGCAATTGTTTCTTTTGCCCCTCAACAAAACTTGCAACACCCAGGCGCTTCGTGTTTGCCATCCGCGAATCCTCACGGCCATATGCAGCGTAGCCAACAAGATGTCCATCGGCGTCTTCGAAGTATGAATAGTTCTGCCTCAGTTTTAAAAAAGGAAACCGTCCCAGCGTCCTTTTTTGTTGTGTGGGTTGTTTGTGTAGAGTGTGCGGTTGGTTTGTTCCTTACGGTCAAATGGTTGGCCACTCCTCCTTGTACCATTTGACGAGTTCAGCCCAGTGACACAGTTCTGGCAGAGGCTGATGCATGACCACGGCTGTAGTAACTAAAAGCTGTGCGAGCAACATCCTGCGCCACAGAACTGCCAAATTGTTCCCGATTTGCTGCACGCTCGAGCTTTGCCCGTGCAATTCCTTGCGCGGTCAATGCAGCATGGCCGCGGCCCTTCGATCTGGCCCAACGTGCCTGCAGCGCGCGCATAGTCACAATTGCAAGAACACCCAGCATAGCCAGTTATCGTGTCCATACCCTACTCGATCTTTCAGATTCAACCAAAAGTTCATAACTAGACTTCTAATGTATTTTTGCGGTCTAAGCAAGCCTAATTGCCAGATTCAAATCTAGTCTAGTTGCCTTCGGTTTGGGAATTGCAGCCCTGTTCCTCAGCACTCGTCGACCTCTTCCCCCTGAATCTGCCCCTGCTGATTCTGGAGGTCAACGCCATTCTGATTCCCATGTCGCGGCACGCCAGCCAGCAAACGCCGGAAGGCCATGGCAAGGCGTTTCCAATCTCAGTCTATGCACGTGCGTGCGCCAAATTGCAAATAAAACGTCCACTTTGTTCCAAGACCAAATATATGAATTGATGGTACATGGTCCATGGTCGTGTCCGTGTTATGTTTTTTTCCACAGCTATATAATATATTATATTATATAATTATATAATAATATAATACGATATATAATATATATATATAAAAGTTTCAGTGCTTGCGACGGTGCTAGCGTAAGTGCTGGCAAATTGAGCTTTGGCGCTAGAAAGCATAGTGTGTTGCGCGCATCATGTTTTGAATAGTAGTAGTAGTAGTAGTAGTAGTAGTAGTAGTAGTAGTAGTAGTAGTGGTAGTCATTGGTACATGTTACATTAGCTAATTCTGACTCAGTTTAGTCTGATTCCAATTCAATACGTCCGCGTGGTTCCAACGAACATGAACTCTCACACCCACTGGATTCTGCCTGGAATTCATCATTGGGACTGGTGAGGCGGCTCTTCTTGGTCGCCCCCATGACATTCTCCAAGACGCAAATCCTTGCAGCACACACGGCACAAATGCCCACGCTCAACAAAGTCTATAGTCTACAGTGTTCAATCTGAATCCTCAGGCGTAAACGTCTCGCATCGGTGGTTTGAAGCCAAGTTTCTTTGGACGATATCGACGAATAAATCGCGAAGACTCAACAAATGGTTTTGCCCTCTCTGCCTCCCAGGTGCAAGATTGAATGCCAATGATCATGAGGAAATGCAATAGATGATAGAGATTCCACAATGACTCACGATGACTCATGACCTTTGCAATTTAAACATAAAATGCGGAATCTCCTTGATCGGATCTGGTTTCTCAAATTTGCAAGAGAGGATTCAGGATTCAATCCACAGACACACAGAAAACCACACAGCCCACGTAATAGCCATGCCGAGGTGCGTGCATGGATTTTTCAAAAATCGTTGGGACGGACTCATGGTTGAATCGCGAGCAATTCTCCTGTGCAAACATCTGGCCGGCAATGCTATGTCTTAATTTTGAGGATTTCTTGCGAACAAACTTGCAAATGAAACGTCAATCGTAAATTGTGCGGAGCTCCTGCGAGAACAATTTGCAGGTGAAGCCGGCAATGAACATGTCCAGGTCATACTCCACGCTGGCCTGGGGAACAGTCAGTGAATCACACCCAGCTTCTTCCCCGCTGCCAGACACTCCCGGCGCCTCTCCACTTGCATGTTCCAAACCAAGGCATTCTTGTCCGTGAACGCAACAATAACCTCCGGTCCTGGCAGCATCACTTGTTTTGGTTGAGCCCCGAACGATTAGACCGGAAGTGCTAATTGTGTCCTCGTGTGTTCCATATCTTTGAACATGTGGTCCACCTTATGGTTGTTCATGAAAAATCTGCGGGTTCCATCCTGAGCTTGAATCGCACTGTGCAAACCGGAACTGAACATGTAACATCTACCATTTGCTTGTATTGCATCTATACTAGTACTATGCTAAAGAATAATACTTGCTTTGAGCTGTTGCAGCACGGAGAACGCTATCATTCCTTTGGTGTGCTTCAAATTTCCAGCTAGCGACATGCCGCTCCGAAGCTGCAATTTCCCGATAGTTTGCAGGTCCAACCAAATGCTGAAGGGCAAAGCTAGGAGCGCCAGTGCATGAACACGCTGTGACAATCGCCTCAAACAGGCCGGCCAAGCAAATCGGGGCTCGGTACACTTTCCTGAACAACACACGTTGCATTTTCTAGCAGCAATGCAGCTGAATCACAAGTGACTGGTCAAGACGAGCGTGAAACTGCTCTTTTGGTATCCCAATCGTATGGAAGAAGGTGTTGGACCATCCTTGTGCAATCCATGTGTTCCGTTCGTTCTGTCCTTCGACTGGGCCTCGGCTCCTAGATCTAGATCGCGGTGGTTCCTCCACAGATATGTCATCAAGCAAACGCAAAAGGGCCATGGCAGCGCCTGATCTGACAAAAGATTGCGCGCAGATTTGTCAGCCTGAAACAAAGTTGGTTACTGGAACTCCCTATATCTTGCCTATGAAGCGCGAGACGTGTGTTCACATGAGGGTTGTGGAGTCCTAAGTGCTATTCCTGACTGTATCAAAGACACTTACATCCGACCAAACCGTGACTCCAAAGTCTGAGCCATGCTTGCTGGATGAACGACATGTTGTTTCCCAAATGCAGAGAGCGGCAAAAAAATCCACTGAGGCGTTGTTTGCTTGCCATGACATCGTGGTGTACGCACATTGAAAACAAAGACCCGAATCCTTCAACCAACAAAGGAATAAGGCCGGACAAAGTGCAAAAACCGGGATCCTGGCCTTAGTACTAGGAGCAAGGACGCTACTAGGGGCTCCTGGCCTTTACTAGGAGCAAGGACGCTACTAGGGGGTCCTGGCCTTACTACTAGGAGCAAGGACGCTACTAGGGGCTCCTGGCCTTACTACTAGGAGCAAGGACGCTACTTACTACTACTAGGTATCACTGCCGTAAATGAGGTTGTCATTGCATCTTGCCCTGCGCAATGCCCTGCGGGCGCCTTGCACCGCAATTTTGCGGTCTGGCAGGCACCTAGCCCCCAAAATTTAAAGGCGGGCGCTTTGCGCCAAAGTTTTCCGCCCTGGCAGGCACCTAGCCCCAAAAATTTACCCTCCGCCCAAGCGCCTTGCGCCAAAATTCTGCGCCCTGGCAGGCACCTAGCACCCAAATGTTACCCTCCAGGCGGGCACGTTGCACCAAAATGTTCCAAAATGTTGCGCTCTGGCAGGCACCTAGCCCCCAAATTTTGCCCTTTGGGCGGGCGCTTTGCACCAACATTTTCCGCCCTGGCAAGCACCTAGCCCCAAAAATTTACCCTCTGGGCAGGCGCCTTGCACCAAAATTTTCCAAAATTTTGCGCTCTGGCAGGCACCTAGCCCCCAAATTTTGCCCTCCAGGCGGGAGCCTTGCACCGAAATTTGGCCCTCCGGGCGGGAACCTTGCACCAAAATTTTGCCTTCCGGGCGGGCGGCTTGCACCAGTATTCTGGTCCTGGATCTGAAAAAGTAGGGTTAAGCCTACCACCAGCTTTCCAAAACATAACCAAGAATGATCCAGCTAACGAAGGGAAACCAAAGGACATCACGTGATGTTGCTCTCGCTATATGCACCATTAAAATATTGCCGCTGAACAACTCACCTGCTTGACAGAAGATGTTGACACACAAACCTCCCAAAAAAGGATCCAAGAACATCGCTCACCGCATATGTTGCCACACCGCGCCGCACGGCGTCAAAAACCGATTCCCAAAGGCCCATCCGCCGGGCAGCGATGACAGCAACGTTGTGCTGGTACTGGGGGCCATAGGTCTCATCGCCCAAGCTTTGGAAAGCATTTGGCATGGCAGGCCGCTGTGGCGCGCTTAAGAGGGCAAGCGTGGACAGGTGCCCTTAATTGGACCCGAAAGCTCGGGCCATGGGATGGCTGCCTGGCCTTGGCACCGCTACCTCTGATGGATTTGTTGGGGCTTCCCTTCAAAGAGCCTGGAGACTGGTCAGTTGAAGTACGTTCCACGTCCCCCCCTGCCCTCCCTTAAACCTGCCGCAGGAGGCTTAGTTGCCTAGCCTGGTTGGCCTGAGCGTGCCCTTACACTTGATTGTTTGGAAGGAACTGATTGAATCTGATTGAGACAATCCATTGAAAGCCATCAGTACAGTGGAGGGCGGCAGGCAAGCTAAATGATCTGTGCAAAAAGCATCAAAAAGAAACCATGTATAAAGCCAAAGGTTTAGGAATGTCACTCATTGTTGCCTTGACTTCAGGGCCAGCTTGATCCAATCATAGAAGGTTTTCAATGGCTTTCTACAATGTGTCACTAAGAAACTCGACACCAAGCCTCGCCTGCTTTAGACAACAGCTACGCCCCGAGCATTGCTAAAGCTTCCTATTTCCTCTCCTCCATTGGTCGGTGGACCTTCAGTGCACATGGGTCCTCAGTGGAATCCTATCTTTGCAATCTTTTGCACGCCTTACGATCAACAGTTTTTCAATGCAACACTGACCTCCAGTGCAACGGCTGTCACTTGCCCAAACACCTGTGATTCACGCAGGTCGGAACTTTTTTGGCCCGGTTGCCGCGTACGCATCAAGTGTCCTTCATTTTGAAGGTCTTGGGAGTACATCGGTTTGCTTTCATGGCAGTGTGCCTAGAAAACTTATCTAGCTGTTTGATGCTTTTTGTCGATGCTTCTGCAGAGGTTAAGTGACCTTAGAGGACCCTACTGAGCTACCTATGGCATAGTCTATAGGATCCTTCAACCTCTGCTGGAATGCCGGAAGAATGGAGGTTCACCTGTTTCGACTTCCACCCTACCAGGCCCTCCCAATCCAGCAGGCATGAGAGCAAGCTCCTTGCTCTGGCCTACTGGCCTACTGATACAACCCGACTCAGGCGGGGGACACGCTGCGGGGCATGAGGCCTCAGTTTCCACGGGGCTGGGAATTGTTTGGGGACGGGGATGCTGGATAGCCTTCTGCAGATAGCTTCATCTGTCAGCAGTCCTTCCAGAATACATCGATGCACATCAAGTAGTCCTGAATAGGTTCGGTTTCCAACCCCGTTTTCAACTGACAAGACATCCAAACATCCAACTTGTGACGCCTCATCCCTGCTGTCGCGATGGTGGGAGGCTAGTTTTTGTGCCAGACCACACGGGACAACCATCGACATAGCAGGTTGGCCTTGTTAATCCATGTTGGTCCCAAAGATTCCCCAAGCCACCTCTTTGGATTTCAGTCCTCTGCCTGCCTGTCTCGAATTGGTCACTCTTGGTGCCACGCTGTGTCTCGACATCGACTGCATCAAATGCACCTCAAGGTGCTGGAAACGCTGATAAAAATGCTTTGATTGTGCTGTGCTGCAGGCAATTCTTCCCCTGGTTAGCAAAGGTCTCTCACATACTTCAGTGAGGCCAATCAGTTGGCAGTGACCTACAGCACTGAGTGTCTGCTTCTGTGCTTGGGCATCACTCTTGATAGAAGAACCCTGCAGCCTCCACTGCACCCAAGACTGTCTTTTCCAAAAAGCACTTCAAAAAGAACACACGACAAGCAACTTGGCCATCATGAAAGTGACTAGTGTGACTGCCAGCCCGGCCAGCCCTGCCTTGCGAATTGCTTCACCCCACCTGCGAGTCTGTGGTGTCTCTCTCCTTTCTACCGCTGACGCCGCTGAATCCGTCACGGTGGTGTCGTCACGCTGATCCGCTCCGCGTCGACGCCGCGCTGTCCAGTGATCCGTTGCATACAGTTGGGTTGAACCCAAGAAAAATAGGACAACAAAACAATGCACGAACGGATCTCGAAAGAAGAGAGTTCCCAGTCCCGGGACCAGTCGACACAACGCTGACTTGTCCTTGAACATCCAACGCTATAGTGAAAATGAATCTTTCTTCCAATCCTTGGAAGATGCACTTGTCAGATGTTATTTGATGATATTTCTTTATCAGTGTCACGACTGCCTTATCCGTCCTGGCCCAGGATAAAAGTTGTTCAACGATTGTGAATCACTCTCCACATGTATATATCCACCAAGTGTCAAACACGAGTCACTACAGGACTGAAGGATCCCTGCCCGGCCCTGCCAACGCCCTGCTCTCCAGGTCTTTCAAGGAAGAGTTGTCGTCAAACACCCTTCTCCCAGTCTGAGACACCCAAAAACACTCGAAAACAATAAAATTACGAAACCAATCCTTCCCACCCCAATAAGACACCCCTTCCCATTCCTTGACGCTCTCTTCTCCCGACCCCACCTACTCCTTCCCGACTTGGCCATGGAAGATGCCAGGATGGCCTCAACATCTCAGAGCCAAGCGCCGCAGGCATCGGACGTCCACGTAACCCCGCCCACCCTCTATCAGAGCTCCTGATGTTCCACGCCCCAAGGACCGCCAGTGAGAACCATCTGAAAACCACCGCTTTCCACCGGCCCTTTCCACCAGCCGTTTCCACCCCTGCGGTGGTCAATGCCGGGCTTCCGTGCCTTTTCAGTGGTGTCCAGATCGTTGACCGTTGAAAGGGTGGAGCGAAGCGTGGGTCTCCGACCCTGGAAGCGCTCGCTCATCCGGTGAGCTCATCCGGTTTACATATATCCCAGGCACGACCCATGGGACGGCCATAGGACTGCCGAGAAACGGCCAGGGGTGGTGCCAGAGGGGTCTGTCTGGGGCGGCAGTCCTATGAGCAGTTGCATGGAGTGTCTGGGGTCTATAGGCGTGTGATCAAACAACGGCTCAAAGAAAGGCAGCAAGTTCTGACAGGGTCTTGATAGAATCAAGTGTTTAACTTGTTGGAATGATGTTCTGCACTCCACGCTGGGCTTTTGTTCTTTTTGATGCTCCTCTCTTGGTTTCTGTTGGGATCATGGATGTCAAGTGCTCAGGGATGAGGGGGGTCATTTCTCTCGGAAGACCGGTGCATCGCGTGACCAGAACGGAGCGGTCTCCACACACGTCACGGGCCTCCTCTCCGGGCGGCAAACCGGTCTGAAAGCCATTGGGAAACTCTTTGTGGAGTTCCTGACGCGCACCGGATGGAGCCACAGGAACTCGATCAAGTATAGGCATGACTTCGGGGTCACAAACATGGGAACAGGATCGAATAGGTTTGCTCAGCCTAGAACCTGCCAAAAAAGCATCGGGCTGAAGTACGAAATCCATTACAAAAGACACGTAGGTGACCATGCGGGACCCAAATGGGTTTGGCCGTTCGCTTTCGAAGAATGCGCGAAACTCCTCAATCTTCTCCAGAATGCCCGACCTGGAGAACAGCTGGCTCAAGGTACTGTGCCATGTTTCAAGCGTTCCTGACAGATTCTTGTGCGGTTTAGTTACATACTTGCGCTCTGCAATATCTGCAGTCATGGCTAGTCCCTGCTTTGTATCTGCAGACGGCTTGGCCATCGGTCTCTATATTTGTCTCCATTGGTCTCTTGACTCTATAATTGCACCCTGCTTGGCCATAGGGAGTTTCGCCCATCAGTCCCCCATCATCACCCGAGCCGAGCCTGGCAACGCTGGGGGTGAGGGTTGCTCCGATCGGCTGAAGGAACCCGGGAAGAACACCCTTGTTAGCAGGGGATTCTTACATAAACACCATAAGGATCCATACACGTCTCAGCAAACCAGGACGAAACGAGCCCAAACTAGCCCAGCTTTCGGGTTTCAACGTCACCGAGTTCCGTGAGTCCGTTGCTCAGCTCGGTCTCAGCGCTCGACCCTTCAGGATACCAGGCCTGGCGCTTCGCAGCCGGCGGGGCGGCGGTTTTCTCGTGCCTCCGTTGACGTCTGGACCCATGTTTTTGGCTGAAGCTACCAGTACCCAGGCACTCCATGTATGCCATATATGCCTACATTGGGGTACAGTAGTTTTAGGGGTCAATGTAGGCATATATGGCATACATGGCGTGTCTGGGGTATACAAGTGCATCGCCGCTACTAGTAACATGCCAGAAACGGGAACCCATGACGGGGCTGTGGCCGCCGGTCAGGTAGGCTCACCCACATGGTGGAAGTGGATGGCATGGGGCTTTTTTGGAAGACCCTTTTCCGTGACAAACAGCTGATTTTCCCACTTCCATGTGATGTGTTTGTCGGAGGGTAGGTGTTTGAAGGCGATGGGGGTCTGGACGGATCCATGACTTCCACCTGGCGTCGGATCCACGGCCGGGGACAGTGAATTGGTCCTTCATCGGTTGAAACGGACCGGGCAAGCAGACCCAGGGTGGTCCAAGATTGGACAGAAAAACCCGCTTTGAGGATGGAGTTCCAGAGTCGAAGAGCTTCGAATTCCAGCGTTTTTCAGCAGCACCTCCATGATCTTCTTGCAAGCATCATTCCTTGGAAGGTGGCTGAAGTTTAGCCGAAGACCCATGAGGTGATTTGGGAGAAGTAGGTAGCCAACCGACCCATCACTAGTAGATTAGTAGATGCTCAAATTGATATATACAGTATACGCAAATATATACATACTTATCTACACACATCCCCCCCCCATCTCTCTCTCACTCTCACTCTCTCTCTCTCTCTCTCGTATTTCATCTAATTTTATACCCATCAGAAGTGGGAGAGTCAAAGCTAGCTACCTCGAGAGTCTAGGGAAAGTGGTTGTCAAGGTGCAAGTACACAGGTCAAAGCCCACGGGATCCCACGGGTAAAACAATGTGTTTGGCCTTTGCTGACCTTTGATCTGTGTTGATCTTTGATGATCTTTGCCAAAGTCTTAAGCGATCTGTTCCCCTAAGCCTCCCTGCGAGATCTGCGCTTCCAAGACATCATACCATCCCTGATCGCGGACACACCTGGGACGCACTGTTCTGTTCAGGATGCACGAGCGGCAACTAACTGAGACCCCCAAAAGTTGACCATGAGAAAATATCATAAGTCATAAGTATGGCATTGTAAAACTGTACATGAGTGGTGAAGTGCATGGTTCTTTTCACCCTGGGAATTTCATGGAATTTCCATGTTCGTACCAGAGTGTCCGGCATGACATCGACCTGGACCGATGTGCGAGAGGTAGTAAGGCATTGTAAAACAATTCAGAGTGCTATGAAGGAATCTGGGACGTTGCGCCAATTGAAGACTCTTTGGATCCAACCACCCTCATTCCAGCCAGATGTCATGGGCCCATGTGGTCTGACGGCCTCAAGCTCTGGACTGTCTGATTCGAGAAGCTCTGGAGGAGTGGGAGGGATCTCCCAGGCAGCCAAGTGGGCCAACATGTGATTCGTTGGACTCTACAGTAAGGGCGGCATCAAAGGTGTAGAAGTAGCATAACTAGCCAGGATGTCTTCTAGATTCCCCACTGCACTCCGGCAAAATGTGGAACCTGCCAAGATGAACATGCTTTTCGGATCATGCTCATTCAAAACTGCCTGAGGGGGGTCTGAGACAATGGCTTGTTTGGGTGTCAGTCACCCACCGAGTCTGGTGCCAGTCGAGCTCCCTCAGCTGCGTCAGGCTAGCTCAAGAAGCAGCCAGTTTCGTCACGGCGTCTCGTCGTCTGTTCCAAGAATCCAGGCCACACGGGGTTCAACGGCATGGCATAATCTTCCTCCACCTAAGCCATGGCAGTCGCCCGTCATCTGCGGGAAGAGACGGAGAGCTCGACCCGAGCTCGACCCGAGTTCGCTCGCTCCGCAAAGGAGGCACTCCCTGCTCCAAAGGCGATCTTTTTTCAGTGTCAAAGGAGTGAAATCTGCCAACTTGTTCTGCCAGTCAAACATCTGGCACTACACGTATCAATCTACTTTATCGCCATAGTCGCACACACACACACACACACACCCAAACACGCAAGACATCTGTTCCACCCCGTCTCACCCCGTCTCCACAGAACCCGCCAGGAACACACCGGTCGCCAGCGATGTGTATGTCTTTGTTCGGACCCAGGAACACGTTCTTCCAGGAAGTCCCGTAGGGCGTCCTACACAGTCGTGAGATCGAAGGGAGTGGCAGAGGCCTTCACCAAAGGCTGGGCGTGGGCGGCGTGGAAAGAAGACATCCGTAGCCTGAAAAGAGTTGCCCGTGAAGCTGCAAAGAAACTGGCAAGCCACGTATTCAGGACAACCTCCTTCTCTTAATTCTGCAGAGGTATCCACGACCATCATCTCCAAGTTTGAGAACCTCTCACAATGTTCTAGCTCGTGACATCTAATGATTACTGGCGACCCTCCATATATATCTGTGAATTCCTCGCAGCATCCTGCAATGTTGCAGCCCAGTTTCGTTCTTTTTCTCGTTCGTCGGTCGCGAGTTTCTCTCGGCGTCCGAAACCGTTTCTCTCGGTCCTCGTCCATGTATGCCCAGGGCCTGTGACGTCCATCGGTGGAAAGGGTGTTCAGCCTGAACAGACCTGGTAAGCCTGGTCCTTGTTCAGTGTTGGTTTCATTCTCAGCCTTTGGATTGAACTTGGTGGTTGCATTGAGTGAATGATTTCTCAAAAACGTGAGGGAGACCATTTACATCGTTCGCTTCTGGTTGCATCCCCATTCATGGGCGATCTTTCTTCACCGGAGTTCCGGTTTTCACACCTTGCGGGTCGGGTGTTCCTGTGAAGCACTTGTGATCTCCTACAAGGCCGCGAACAAAGGCGGCCTAAGCTCCTCTATTGTGAGGGAATGAGTTGGATTCTCCAGACCGGTGGTGTGCTTCTGTGAAGTCACAACGTTGTGACCTCAAACGTAGGGTTCTCAGTAGAGTCCCCACAAGAGGGAACTAAACTAAATGAAGGTCTTGCCCAATCTTCTCCATCCTAATCGGTGCCGAAGTGTTCTGGTGCAATTTCTTCCATGAACCTAGCCGCTAGTAGGTGATGGAGAGTGTGTCTTAGCTTTCCCATTACGGTTGGGTTAGTGGCGGCCACGGTTTCTGGGTGCCGAGCTTGTCATCAAAGCCTTCCCAAACCTTGAAGCGGCAAACGGGAAGCTGAAAACGGGGATTTGGGCCTCCTCAGGCAGCCGGGCAAACAGAAAAGCTCTCCGCCCAGTTGTGGAAATCCGCGCAGTTCGGGAAAATACCAATCATCATAGATCATCTGATCATATCTGATCCGCCCAACATCGGTGAAATCGAAGAAATAAGCCAGGAGTAATTCATCAAAGCTGAGCTGTTGACCACCAGGTAGTTGTCATCCAACTCCTCAATTCGCACTGACATGCACTGACCATTCGCTGGCAAAAGAAGAAACGGGACACCTTTCCAACAGTCCAACAACTATTCTCTTTGGGACCGATGGCATGTCACATGCCCTGCATGGTGAAAGGTTGCCGGACTTGGCTCAAAAAAATCAAACCCTTCATACCCTTAAATGTCATGAACATGCGCTCAGGGTTGTGATTGCATGTTCTTGTGATGTCTTTTGTGTGTGTCTCTTCCACTGCTTCGATGCAGGCGCTCTCTGCTTGCCAAACACCACTCATGAAAGCGGAATACAATGGAATGCATTGCTTGGTTCCTTTACCTTGTGTCATCCTGTGCCACCCTGTGTCTGCGTCAAAGCAAAACAGTGTCCGCTACAAAACGTCCATCTCCTGAGGGAAGTAGAAATTGAAGCACTCAGCGCCATGGCGTACTGCGCCGGATTCACTCGTCGCCTCCACAATGCCCTGCCCGAGACGAGGTGGTCGAAGGCGCAGGCGATGCCCAAAGATGCCAAGAAGGCGCGAACTTCGCGCTCAACTCGTTTGGAGTCGACACGGGAGGATACCCAAAAAGGATCGTGAAGAAATGTCAAAGGCAATAGCCAAGAAATTCATCTGCCAGACTTCATCAAATGCCCGACTTGTGGGCCCACCTGGCCCCACCGGAACCATCCAAACCCGAAGCTGCTAGTCCCAGTCCAGTACCATCTGCCTCTATGAGTTTGTAGGAGGTCTCATCCTCGGCCGATGGATCTGACGGGAACGCCCTTTGCAGGTGCAAAAACACTTGAAAACAAGACGCGAAACACGTCAGAATCTGTTTAAAGACAGCTTTGCCATGGTTTGCCTGCTCATAGTCCACCCAATTTAGGTAGGACTTGAGTTTAACATATCCATCGTAAACCCCAAACTTACCGGGCCCCCTCCCAGCATCTGAGAGTGGCAACTCCCAAGCCGTACTGAGAGTGGCCACTCCAAAGCCGTACTCCGGAATGTCGGGATGGAATCCTGCATGAGCCGGGCTCGCTCACTCTAGCCTACGCCTACGCGCTTGCGAGGGTGGAGGGTTGGAGGGTGGGAAGAAACCAAGCAAACCCGGCTACAAGGAGGCTCACTGTATTCTCAAGTCGTTGGTTGGCAGTCTTATGGCACATGGACCATGGCGTCCATGGAGCAGTAGATGTCTGCTCAGCTTCCTCTCAGCAGGACCAGGAGGGACGAGCAGCAGTCGGGGCAAATAGTGCAAGTGCTAGTCCTGTAAGTCGAAGGGAGGTGGAGCAGCTGCCGCTACCACTGGCGCTAACGACTCGCCCACCACGGCAGGGATTAAAGCGCCAAGGCAGAACAAAGACACTAGCAGCGACGGACAAGGTGCCAGGGTTGAGGATACCAACGGTGGTTTTGGACGATGCACTTCTGTTGGTCTACTGGTTGCTACTGCTGACAGGATGACTTGGCGCTTCCTCCAGCTCATAGCCTGGACTTTGTAGAGTCTCTTGCCGGAGATCTTTCGCAGCTGTTTTGAGTTTAGATGAGATATTTAGATATCATCTCCAAGTGCTCAAACCTCTTGGATTGGGACAGATCCCACCGTGCTCTTCACCGTAACGGACCGTCACTGAAGCAAAAGCCGTGGAGTCAGCGCAAGACCGCAGGAGCGCGTGGATCGCAGTGAGTGTGGCCCGCTGCGGAGTGATGCTGCGGAAGAACCAGGTGACTGCATCAGTTCAAGGCTCACAAAGCCCCTAGGAATGGATGGCCGTTATGACGAGATACCTACCTGAGGAAGTAAGCAAGAGAGATACGTACTAGTATACCTGAGCAATTTTACCCAGCCTGACCACGAGGGGTGAATCTATATCTAATTTAACCGAAAGGCGGGAGGATTTGGCTGTGGTAGGAGCACGGGACCACCAAAATGATCTGGTACAATAATAATGAAAAACTAAAAATAATTCAGATATTTCCAGAAAGAAAGTGAATCCCTTGAAATCGAATGTGGTTTCTAATGGTTTCCATGTTTCTATCCACCTCCTCAAAGTTCCATGCACTTCCCAGGCAGCCCTCCGGGAAACGACGATTTACGCCTCCCGGTGTGTTCGAAACGCTGCCGCGGCCCTTCCGCGGAACCGCGCCACGGACTCGGCACCTTCGTCGTGCGCTTCCTTCAAGACCTCCAACCATCGCCTGTCTTCGGTGCCACGGACCGAAACCGGGCGGACCAACGAAAGCGCGAGCACGGCCAGTGACTCGCAGAGCAAGGAAGGCAAGGGGCAGTTGAGCAGTTGGGAAATGGTTTCTATAGAAGTGACATGAAGTGACTCAGTGTTTCTAGAAGCACTTCAAAAGCCTCACTTCAAGTGCGCACATTCCACCGACAGCTTTGGAAACACAGGCTGCCTCTGTCAGAATCACGTCAACTTGGAAAAGGTCCGTAACAAATCTTGACGGTGCTGTGCCCGAAAAGAATTGATGAGAATCCTGCAAGAATTGCTTCCTTCATCTTCCTTCCTACCAATCGTGCTCCGCAGACTTGTCGATTCTCATCTAAAAGCTGAAAAATCTGAACGGCTCAGCTGGGGTTCTTTCCATTTCCATGTCCAGCTCCGTGGATCGTTGCCGATCGTTGCCCCCACGACTCGATCGACTCCCAGGACTTTTGGGCCCTTTTGTTGTGTGGGCGGAGGCTTGAGAAACATGGTACTTCCTGGCGAGTGTGTGTCCGGTTTGCATCAAGTTTGACGCATCTGGGCGTTGTTTTGCTTCGCACGGCTTTCAGGCTGTTGATCGTTTTAAAACTCTTTATGTCCATGTATCATATGGTATCATATCACATTTTGAGAGGCGGCCCATCCTGTTGTCTTGTCACTGTCTGTGGAGGCCAACCACCCACAAATGAAAAATCCAAACTTGAGGCCGAGGGTAGGTGACGAAAGCTAGCAGGGGTGCATCCGGACTGGTGGGACATCAAGCGGAGTGAGGCAAATGCTCATGAGGTAAAACGTTGTGAACATGTAAGACACACAAACAGCAATGACACAGTCAACCTTAGAATTGAAGTCCCTGATAATTAAGGACAGGAAGCGTGGCTGGACTTTGCCACACTGTTCGATGCATCCGATGTGTTCACAACCTGTGAGCTTGTTGAATCTGTTGCACCGTATCCCAAAACCTCCACGGAGGAGTTGAACCAGTGTGGATGCCATAAGAGGTGCCCAAGAGGTGTCCCAGCGGTGTCCCAGAGGCAAAACAAAGCTGCTTGCATGATTTGTTTGGTTTCTTCTATCGATGTCGATGTCATGAACATGTGAGCTTGTTGAATCTGTTGCACCGTATCCCGGAGGAGTTAAGCCAAAGTGGATGCCATAAGAGATGCCCGAGAGGTGTCCCAGAGGCGTCCGAGGGGGGAGTTGAACCCACGGGGGGGGGAGGGGGGGGGGACCCCCTACATATGAAGTTTTCACGTGATGCGGCGATCCCGAGGATTCCAGCCCCTCACTTGCTAAAGCAAGGACAACTCCAGCTAGCTGGTGCTAGCTTTCCTGAAGAACAATAAAAGATCAGTCGAAGGATTGGCTGTGCATCTAGCAGCATAGCAGGAACAGAAAGGACGTCCACACAAACGCCAACCTACCCATGGGTCTTTGGTTGTCTTTGCTATTTGTGACCCAGAGCTATGTTAGGGATATTTGAGGGATTCATTCGGTGTCTTTGCTGCAGTGCAGTGCTTCATTCTCCGAGCTGCGAAGTCCAGGAGGACAAGGATGGCTTCCGCAAGAGCTGCTCGGTGTGCTTCAAAGCCTCGGTTGGTGGTGGATTCTATGGGCCCAAGATGGCCCAACATGTCCAAGTTCGACACCTGTCCAATCACGTGGATTAGAGTGGTCTGGAAAAAGATCGCACGTCTGGACGACCCCCCCCCCAGGCTCTGTTTCTATGGAATTTCATCTGTCTAAGACATCTGCTTGCCATCGAGGGATGCAAAGCGCAAGGCTGGTGACTGACGGTGACATCAACGAAAAACACCAACTCATCACTGAACACATCCTGCCAAGAAATATATCAGTCCTTGACTTGGTGACTGGCACACTGCACTTGTGTGCCAAGCGTTCTGACATGTCACAACCCTGCAGACAAACATGGACCCCGAAAATTCACCTGTGGTAGCGACGATTCTCCGAACACCAGCCAACCCAATGGTTTCCGGAGTTCCATGTCGTCCTTTGAGCCACAGAATCAGAAGCATGAAGGTCTTAGAAAAATGAGGAAAACCATGGAAAACCTCTATGTTCCTCTCGCCTGACGATCACTCTTGCTCACAATAGGTCCTTCTTTCTGCCCATCGAGGCGGTGACCCACATGGCCAAATCGGCCTGTTCCGGGTGCAGTCCTCAGCCGTCAGTCCATTAAGAACACATGCTGCGGGATTTGCACCAGACACTCAACTGACAACTTCGTCAAGATTGCACAAATGATATGATGCTAACTGTGCTATTCAATGAAAGTGGCATCACATGCATTCATTACCACCGAAAAACACTCGACTGAGCAACATGGAAGTGGACAAGGCCAATGGCTTTCCTCCAAAAGCAGCAGTTTTGACTTCTTGACCCTTCTGCGTCAGAATATCGGGACTACAGAAAGTCCAAGAGTCTTTTGTACGTCATGCCGCGGCTTCCAACCTGGCGCACAACTTCCCATTTCCGCGCACTGCACTGTAATGCCTAATTGTCCATAAGTGTCCCTGATTTGCAGTTGTCCTGGAACATGCACTAAGAGCGTTTGAGGCTCAAATCATCTCTGCCGTGCCAAATATGCGCAAAAGGAGAAAGAAAGTGCCCAAGACCTAATCATGAGCTACATTCGCGAATCTCGAGGCTCTCGAAGTCGGAAAACCAGGCAGCTCCACTGTGAAGGTGTCAAAGTCCGAAACAACCTGAGGGCAAAGCAGGTGCATTTAATCATTGAAACCTACCTTCTCTGTAGACGAAGAACACTGGGCCGGACTAAGGGAAAGTCAGGCTGAAAAAACAAACGTGAGCACACACACACACACACACGCACACACACACACATATATATATATATACACATATAGTATTAACATATTATGCTAGAGCATCTATCTTCAATGATTCCAACTCCGTTTCTCACGTCTTGAAGGTGGTGCCTTGGGTTTTCTCAGGCTGCAGCTGGCTTGACAGTCGCTTCTGCGTAGGCAATGAGCAGTCCATGGGGATTCATCGCATTGTCCTCAAAAATGTGCAGAAACCATTTCCAACGCAACCACCCAGGCCATCCTAGCAGCCGTTCCTAGATTCCCCACGGGCTCTGCACTGCTTGTTGATGCTTGTTGGGCATGATGCTCGATGATGCAGCCAGCAGAACTTCTGCGATGCAGAAGTTGAGTCCTGGTCGAACTGGTAAAGGACCACCTTTGGCTTTGAATCCCCACGCAGTGCTTGCAGATTCATATCCATGAAGGCCTCACATGTCAGTCAAACAATGTCAAACAGCACAAGTGGAGATCTCACAAGCACAGTCATGGTCCTGGAATAGATGGGAAGTCTTTCCATGTTCAATCTCTGACATGTAGGACTCACCTTCTTGGGGTGTCGAATTAGAACCCCAAATGGTACCACGTGAGCGCGGCATTGATTCATTATTAAGCTCAAATACGCTATCGATTTTGTGGGGGCCCTATCTTGTTTAGACTACTTAAGTAGGAGGTCATAGCACAGTATCTCGTTCAGACTGCTTTAGTGTCATCACAAAAAGTATCTCGTTTATTGGGGGCACTATCTTGTTCACCGGCGAATTTTGATGTTGGACTGACAAACAAACAAACAAACAAAGAAAGCATGCCGTGGACTCCTTAAGTAAGGAATTAATAAAAATAACAATATAAAAGTGGTTGCTCACATCTTCACCATGGCTGCGCGAAAACTCGCAACCTGCGTCCCCGGGCGGGTGAGGAGATCCTCCCGGTCTCCCAGCCAACAGCCGGCTGAATGTCCGGCCTTAGATGGACCCGACCGATCTCGAACATGGCCGATCTCGAAGATCCGCATTGGTTTTGTTTCACGTGGGTCCTGGGTCAATGGTCCGGGACCTCTTGATGTTTTATGATGTGGTGGGTTGATTTCGAGAAGCATGGCATGGCCCAAGAAAACCATGCCATCCACATCACATCACGTAATCATGATTCTTTCAGGTAGTGGGTAGTGACTAGTGTATATGTTGGGCCTATCCGAGTCTACCTGTAACAGTGGATGATGATGGTTAGTAAGGCCTTGTCCAACAGTAGTGATTTGCTTGTTTACTGACTGTTACAGGTAAGTTCGGACAGACTACCTCACCCAAAAATTGGATCCTCTACCCGATCCACTGAGACTGGGAAATTGGCACACGAGGCGCAACGCCAATGGAAATTGGTCTTGAGCCTATTCAGCACCATACGCGACAGTGGGACGAAAACACTCACATGGTTTCGACATGAAAGTGGCAAAATCCACGGGTTTCTAGAAGAAAGTCCTCTTCCATAGAAGATGTTCCACGTGTTTCATCATGTTTCGACCATGTGCTCTCTTGCGCTTCGGGCCGATTCGTGGCTCACCAGGCTCGGCTCTGGAACGTCTGGGATCGCGGCTTGTCAATGAAGGCATAGTGCAAAAGTGGCTCCGGCCTTGGGCATTCCAAACGCGGACCAGTTCCTATCCCCGCTTGCTGGTACATGCTGGTACCTGTCTCGTGAACCCCAGATAGATGACCGTGGCACGGTGTCCAATAGGCCTTTTGAGTTGGGATCTACTTTTACTATCTATTCAGAGGTCTACATCGCCTCAAACCTCTGAAAGCTGTGGGGCACTCGATCGCTTCCCTCTGTCACACAATCAGCAACACTCATCTCATCTTCAAGCGGCAAAATAAGGCCGGGAGTGTTGGGATAGTCGTCCAAGGCTATGAGGTGATCCTCCTCGCTTCGACGCGAAAAAGCGGAGGGACCTAACCTGGCCGACCTGGCGGAGGAACAAAGATGGAACAACGGTTAACTGCCCGTGAACATCGTGAAAAACATGGAAAAGCATGGAAAAAATCATGTGAGAAACCGTAGCTCGTGAACATCGTGGAGGAGTGAGCAAGTCCTGCACATGCAAATCAGCGGAATCCAGCAGGCTTTGTAGCTGTGACGCGGCCTTAGCAGCTTAGCACATGCGCCAACAGTGTGGCTGTGCATCTTTCTTAATCATGGAATGTAGCCAAAGTCATGTGCCAAGCTCTCCGAAAAGCTCACGCGCAGCAGTTTTTAAGTGCAGCTCACGACTGCGGAGCTCGTCCGAAGCAAAGTAGATGGTGACACAGGCGTCTGAGGGTGACCTGGGAGCGGAATGAAACGGCGAGAGGTTTCCGAAGCGGCTCTCTAAGGTTTCCAGACATTTTGTCGCCATTGAACATCTGGACCCCATAGGTGAGAGGAACACAATGCGAGTCTCAAAAAAAAAAACATGCGAGTCTCCATGCATCGCATTTTCTGGGTGCCGAGCAGGCCGACCAGGATGCAGCGTAGAGATATATATATTTTTTTAGTTATTTACTATATGTATACTTGATATATATATATACGGAATGATTTAGTATAGAGTATAGACTATACTAGGTGAACATGAAGATTACAGAAAACAGATCGCTCTGGGCGCGCCCCACGGGGCAACTTCAGCCTTGTCATTCCTTGGATCGGACCATCCACCCACTCATCCAAGAAAACACCACAAGAGAACTCTGCCAAATGCGCAAAGGTGCCTTTGAAAGCTGTTTGGTTTGCTTCAAGCTGCTCAACGAATCCAGCTTCTACCTTCATCTGTGGAAATCTTTCATACTTTTTCTATGTCTTGTTCTATCTCTTCCCTGTAGAAGTCAGCCTGCCTTCGATTAGCATCACGGCCACTTGAGCAGCTCTCGGTCATCGACCGTCCATCAACCGATGGTATTGGGTGGCGGCGACCTGCCTGCGAGAGGGGAGTTGGATCACCGTTTCGTCCAAGGATCTCTTGGCTGATCTGCAGGAAGGGCACAAAGCCCGACAAGCGATTCCTGAAAAAAGAGCGAGCCAGCAGAGAGAATGCCCAGCTGGAGGAGTGGACGAATGTGCTGGTAGATGGTGTTTAAGACTAAAGTTGTTGCGTTCAGCTCGCCGAACATACTTTTCAACAAACGCCCTTTCCTCCAAGAATGAATGATGGACGGCTTTGCAAAGAACATGAAACCACAAGATCATTACAGCTGCCCAACCACACCGGTGTTATCTTGCTGCTTCTCCTGTCATCTCATTTCGATGAATAAACTCCATGTGGGAGAGATCTTCCCCCAAAACAAAAATCACATGGTAGTATGCAAAATGTATGTGTGTGTGTGTGAGTGCTATATGTGTGCTATATCTAGCCCAGCCATTCGAACAGCAAACAGCCGTCGAAGCTCGCCAGTCGCTTATGTCACAGCCTGAAAAACCATGGAAATGGAACATGGGCAATGGGCAAACCATGTTCCTCTACAAGGGGGTCTGCTAAGCTCCCATGACTGTCTAGCGGGTGCTAAAGGGAGACCAGTCAAAACCACTTGGCTCTACCTTGCAAAGCTCAGTTTGTGTGTTTTGCCACCGCCCCTCAGACAATGGTGAAGGTTCTATAGAACAGATAATCTCAACAAAAGAAGGACAAGAAGAAAGCGCAGACCGAAAGCAATCACATGACGAAAGCAATAGCGTCATTCGGTCATGGATTCTCTCCCTCATGGAGGTAGGATCTCAGCATCCGACAACTTTGCAGACTTGCCCTTCACGTTCAGACCCTTTCCAACCTGAAGAGCCCGGTTCTTCCGGAGCGAAGAAATGAAGAAAGGTGGGGATGAATGGCGTTGGAGGGGAATGGGGAATACGGGGAGTGAGGTAGTTCACTTGGATACTTGGATGACTGATTACTGAAGAGTATCCAAGTGAACACCTAAAAGAGGGAAGATGGTCAGAAGTCAACAAATAATCCCGAGTACCTATTTAAAAACAGACCCCTATTAGAAAAAAGTCATGTCGGAAACCCCTAAATACGGTTTATATTTGCTTTTCAATTGCCGCCCTTTCAAGCCGCCACTAAACTACCAAAATGCCGACTTTGGAGGAGTTGTTTTTATTAGGTTCCAAAAACAACCGTAACTGCCCACCTCTGTCCGCCCTGTCTATCCACCATGACACGCCGCGCTTACACCAGCAGGCTTTCCTTCCCCCAATGGCACGGACTCACGCAAACGCACTTGCCACCAAGGTCATGCAACACCGCATGGCACAGCGACATCACCTTTCGAAAGCTTTAGCTGTTAGTCTACTGAAGAATCACTATTCTAATGAAGGTTTTTGTAGGGGAAAAGGAAGACCCTTCGATCTGGAGCTTTTTTGCATTTTTGATACGAGTTTAATAAATGATTTTATTTGAAATTTTACTGATTTACTTTTTGGTTTTGAAGCTCTTCCCAGGTGACCCTATTTTGGGCCCCCCCGATTTCAGGGACCCCCTATTTAAAAACATGCGACCGAGGTTTCCTTATTAGGGGGGGGGGGGGCGTTTTTTATTAGGGGGACTGGATTATGATAAGCAAAACACATGGTGGGGATGCCACTTCGGCTCTTCATGGGCCAACAGTGCTGCAAGTTCTACTCTCAAGGCCACCCCAAAAATGGATGAAAGGAACACTAACTACGGATGGTCCAGATTGAACCTGCTAGGCCAAGAATCCAACAGTCCCATCACCGCCGTCAAGGGGTAAGACGTGACATGCCCACTGTAACTAATGTGACATGCACCCCATGGTTTCCATCATACTTCCCATCGTCATACCCCAAGAATAAAGAACATGAAAGAACATGAAAGAACTCGTAAAAACACCATATTTCGAGACAATCATCCAGTTCACACCTTTTGCTTCGCTCCAGTTCGTGTCCCAGTGTCCCTCTCTTCGGCACGGCCCCTCGTTTCATCGGCCCATCTGAGGGCGCCCACGGCTGCACCACTCAGCATCTTCGCTATGGCATCCCGGCTGGTGGGCCGATAAACGGCGAACCTCACCATCCGTAGATCGATGATCGGAGAAAAGGGGGCCTGGAGGGGCGGAGGCGTCGAGCTTGCACGACGTGAAAGAACACCACCAGTTTGCTGCTGGCCCGCGACCCTCGGCGAGCGGTTCTGGAAGGTGACCCCGACCAGCCACGACGCACACCCTTCTGCCACCTAAGCGCCCAGGCCACTGTGTGTCTCCGCCTCGCGTGGTTCGCGGCCGTGTTCGCGGCCGTGGACGGGCCTAGGATTTCAAAAGCCTTAGATTGAAGAGTCTTTACCCAAAGACGTGGCCCACAGCAGGATCGCTCGGAGAGCTGAGAGTGATTTCTCTTAGCAGACCGGCCAGCAGCTGGACGACCAATGCACCAAAACAAACATTTTGTGAATTTACTCATTTGTCTTGTGTACAATGTGTTTTGTTGCGTTCTCTACTGGAATCCCTCGAGGGAGCTATAGGTAGCCAGGCCTAGGATCTAGAAGATCCCTGGACATGACAGGTGAATTCAAATCACTTCACTCTCCACCCTGAGCCGCTTCTGTTCACGACCTTTTCTTCCTTGGAAAGCATTGGGAAACGCGTGTGGCAGGCACCGCAGGAGGCTCGGCGAGCCCCCAAACTAAAAGGCCACAAGTCACATTTGCAAAGCTACACCCACCGGGCTGCAGCCCTGTCAGAAGTACTGCTGATTTGACATGACGCCCAACAAACTGACAGCCTTCTGTGGTTGCCACCCTCTCTCGAAGGCATGACAGGCCACGCTCAGCGTCACCGCATTGGGCTGAATTCTTTGGCATTGCATGGCATCCATGAGGCTCAATGCTTGCTGCCAAAGGTGTTCTTTCTCACACGAACTGAGAGCCGATGTGAAGGAAATCACATCAGCTTGAGCTGATGCCTCAGCTGAACCAGCTCGTGACGGCTCCAGTGACCTAAGGAGACCTCCCAGGCAACCACCCCCTGGAAGAAGGGGAAATAGACCAGTCCTACCCATTGGTTGGACGTCTCCGATTCCCTATTCAAATGCACCATAATATGGGAAAATGAAAAGCTCAGCGATGGGAAGCAATGGGTATGGACAGAGGATTGCAGGGGGTAGTGATCTGACAGCACGATTTTGCATTCCACAATTAAAAAGCATATTAATGAAGTATCAGTATTAATGTTCATGGTTGATGGTTCAAAACTCTAGGTGTTCTTAAATCAATAGTCAACATGAAATGTCAGTAAGAAATCCCGTTTAGAATTATGTGTGCAACCTATATCATTTCAATCTCCCCAAGGGTGGTTCATCCTCCGCCGAGCCAAGCAAACGCAAGCAAACGCAAGCAAAGCTGCCAGTGGAATCATGTCAAGCAAACTGATCGCACGTTGCCACTGTGACCCCTTCTCACAGGCACTGATGATGGCATTGAAGCTGATGTCATTGGCTTGAAGCTGTGATTCCAACATCTGGTCCAAGAGTCCTAAGGCACAGCACCATTGGCCACTCTTCCTTGACCAAAGGCGAGGACGAATTATGCGAAATCAACGCTACGGGTTGGACCGGTGGGACACATGGTAATAACAGGAAGCGCCAAGTTAAACTGAAAGACTGTAAGCTAGTTGGGGACTGGTCAAAACCTGGAGCCTCGGCACCATATAGCTTAACCTTCCAGGTAGGTCAACACGGGCATCCTGGTTTTGACCCACAGCCAGTTCTTGGGCAAAACTTGGGTGATACATGATGATACATGGTGATACCACAAAAAGCACATCGGTCTATATACATGCTGGCTGCTCGCAGGCACTGATCGCTGCATTGAAGGTGAGTACATCCATCAAATAGCCCTTTTCGATCATGGTCTCCAGCAAGATGAGTGCATGCTGCCAACGCCTTGAGCAACTTTGCTTCAAGCACGAAAAGTTGTTGCCAGCTAGTTTTTCCGGAAACTGGAAGGGCGGGGTCTATCTAGCCTGCTTTAGCAGCTGCGACAGAAATTCGACTTTGCAGATTCAGACCACTGGATTCCTTCGTTCGCAGTGTTACAGGTTATGGGCGACGCTCTTGAAAAAACAGAACCCCGAGAACCCGAGGACGTCTACCCGACTCGACGGTCAACGCTGGCCGACGCTGGCGGGGCCTGCCCTTTTCACAGGCGCTGATCAAAGCACTGCAGGTCATCAAGTTGGACTGGATCAGCGCACAGACCATAGCTCTTAGAAGATTCAACCTTGGAACAAGAATCTTTTTTGGGTGTGTATCACGCATCCAAGGTGCTAAGGATAGGATTCTTAAGCGTCGCAAGTCCAAGACCGAGGGAGCTTCCGGCAGTTCAACTCATGTGGGCGATTCTGGGAGTGAAAAGACGCGTTCCGCAAGGAAAGAAAGCTGGAAATGGCTCAGCGCACCATACTTCGAGCTGAACAAACGAACAAAGCCTACAGGAAGCATGAGCCGCACCATTGCGCCGCACCCAACCACCGCAGGTCGTTTCGTGTTTCGCTTTTTGGGAGTCTGATGGAGCGATGATTGAAGCCTTCATCGCGATGTTTCCTGATTGGCAGAGGTCTAACCCACCAGTTGGTCCAACCCACCAGCTCAGCAACGCCTGTGGCCACTGTCCGGCCTTCTCACAGGCAGTCATTGTGGCACCAAAGGTAGTGACCTTGGGATATCTTGGGATGGGGTGCCAAGGTCAAGTGGATCTTTTTACGGTCCTAAAAAGGGTGCACACAGCGGATCTCAGTTTTCAAAAGGCTCAAGAGAGGTCTGTGAGGCCAAAGACTTTCGAATCAGTTTTGCACCTCCAGGCCCTTAAAAGGCCTATATATAGGCATTGCAATTTTCGGCTATACAGTGCCTAAGCATACCAAGGGTTCATGGCCAGACCGGTCTCGGGAGGTTAGGAGGTTCTCAGTTCGCCAAGCAACACCAGGTTTCAACTCAGCCGGAGCCATGGATCCCAGGAAGGACAATGCCTGCTGCCAGCGTCCACCTGGAATCCACAGAGTGACTCTTCAGGACGGGTCGAAGCTGGAGAGGTGCACCCTGCTTTAGCCTTTCCACCTCTTCTATCCATCAATGGGGGGGCACCAATTCATGAAGGTGACCCACTTGTCCTGGGCAGGAGGACAAAATCCAATGTTTGAGGTCCGTGGTTCGGGGGAAGATCGTCTTTTGGAGATGCCTGCAGCATTGAAGGCTCACGCTTGATTTAAATAAACATGAGCAGCTCAACAGTGATGGCAGATGGAGCAAAGTTGCAGCGGGCCACCTTGCTGACATGCTGAGATGGACGTGTTGAAGCTGATCACATCAAGCTGAACCTTCGTGGCAAGCACGCGTCACGCGTTTGTTGCGCACGGGCGAAGCTGACTTTGGTTTCTAGCCTGATTAACTGTGCACAAATGCACCTCACCAACTCGGAAGTTCACTTGGGGTCTTGGCTCTCAATAAACGAATTCAAGCTTGCAACTTGCTGTTCAAAGAACTTCTTGAAGCAAGGCTTTTCAGCCAACTTGGAGCCCCAAGTCCTATCCTTTCTTCCGCCTCAATGTGCCAGGCCACTGACGCCAACGATGCGAAGAGCTTCAAGGCCAACTCTGACCGCTCAGCTCTCTGGCAGGCTTTCATGAGCGCACTGAAGCTGACGACTTTCAGCTCCAACTGGCCCTGCCGACGAGTCTTTCTCTAGTCAGTCTTTTCTTTTTCTCCACGAGTACGGACGCCATGTGGGCGGAGTGCCCAGGTCATCAGAGTCTTTCTCTAGTCAGTCGCATGAGGTCGGGAGGAGACGCACCTTCAAGATCGAAAATCTGCAAATGACGAACCACACTGCACCACCACATGGCAGGGTTTTCACAAACAAAAGACCTGCTCAAGCTTTGGAACCCGTTTCATGACCCAGAACAACCCTTGGTGCTGGCTCCGAAGCCCTTCCACAGGCTGGTGGTGCCACAGGTGCCACACCTCCTTCATCTCCTCCACCAAGCATAAGGCCCTGTCCCAACGCATCACCGCCAGCAGCACATTCCGCAGCTCCGCGTCCCGCGGAGCACCCACGGGCTGCGCGGAAAGCGGCTCGTAGGTGGAGTGGCCAGCGGTGTACAGGCTTAAGGCCATTGGCCAGTGGGAGCCCTCAGGTGTTGAAAGGCCGGAAATCAACTACGACGCTAAAGAGTCTGACCCCAGAACCCGCTGAGGTTGTTCTTAGGCGGCTTTTGTGTGCTTTTGTCTTTTTTTTGTGTCGGCTCCAGTTGAAACCAGAGCAGCGAAGTGTGGGAGAAACAAAGGGGATGAATGTGAGCAACGGGCCTCGATGTGCTTTTTGGGAAACCATTGGAAAGATGCTCTCAAGAAAAATGTCCAGTCATGTTACGTATGTTTATCATTCATTATCATTCCATTCCCTCTTGAGAGATTGGTTAGGAACACTCCCTATTTGAATACCGGCCAGCCCTTTCTGACGCCTCACATGCGCTCATGGCAGCGGTACAGGTGATGACATTCGGTTGAAGAAAGGCGGCACCAAGCGCATTGAATTCTTGCATCGCCTGCTGCCACTGTCTGGCACTGGCACAAGAACTGGTCACCGCATTGAAGCCTCACAGGGGTCGTGTTTGATCCCAGCACTAAACTATGTATACTTGAGGCCAAGGGGGGGGCGAAAGCTAGCGCTCCAGCATGGGAAAGAAGAGGGCAGCGAGGTAGGAAAAAACACGGCGCTCTTTTTGGAGGCAGGGGTGAAGAGTCGTTTATATGTGGCTCTTTGCCCGGATCCTCCTGCGAGAGAAGAGAGAGAAGAGAGACGGAAAGACGAGAGACAGAGAGGAGAGAGAGAGAGAGGAGAGAGAGATGAGAGAGATGAGAAAGAGATGAGAGAGATGAGAGAGATGAGAGAGACAGTGAGACAGTGAGAGAGTGAGAGTGAGAGTGAGCGAGTGCGGCCGCAAGATACGCAACGCTAACCGCATGCCAAAGAGCGACGACAGGACGGAGTCGAACTTGCGAAGAGGGAGGAGGGAGGAGGGAGGGAGGGAAGATGGGAGGAAGACAAGGAGGAGGAGAGGGGAGGAGGTGGGGAGAGGGGAGGTGGGGAGAGGGGAGGAGGGGGGGGTGGGGGGGTGAAAGAGTGACTAGGGCGTACACGGTAGAGGTGCAGACCGCTAGTGTCTTTTACTCACGCAGAGTCTTATCCTATATCTCCTTGAGCCTTGAAGCAGTCAAGCATGGACACACTATATCAGCTGTTGGAGTGGAACCCTGTACAGGTAGGCTCTACTTTTCAGCAGGCACAAGATTCATGTCCACTTCTAGCTGATTGCGTATGTCGCATACTCTTTTTCTACTGCAAGGCTAAAACAGTCCAGCTAGCTCTGACAACTTAAAAGAAAACTACGGTGCCATGTACTTACCTAATCCAGTGTGTTTCACACTTTGGAGAAGGTAATCTCATAGCTACTAAATACAGTGAGGGAGCAATAGCTGACTCACCTCAAGTACAAAATCAAATCGATAATGTACCTCGGCTGGAGACTGTACTTTTCGCAGGCGGAGATACCATGTACCGGCGCTCACTAGCTCTTTAGGGCCTGAGCTAAATCAAACTAAAAGGGAAAGCGGCTTTTTCTCTACAGAGACCTATAAAAGAATCAAACGACACTCGCGTAACAAAGAACTAAAAATTCAAGACCGCACAATGCAATGAATTAAGATGCCTTGCAAAATGCAAGGAGCGTACGGTCCGAGGAATAATCTTCTCGTGACGTGGTCTCGACCGCTTTCATCCACAGACAAAATAAAACTGCATCAAAAGGACTCTCTTTCACATTCACATCAAAAACACAA